AGAATAACTAAATATCAAACGCGGCATTTTTAAAAAACATAATAAAACATTATAAACACCTTCCATCATTAAGAAATGTTTATTTAATAAAATACTAACATTTTCAGCCTCATAGAATAGGCCATCTTCAGGTGTAAATGAATTTCAATGTATTTTAAAACTGTAACGATGGAATGTTCAAACATTATACATTCAAATTTAAAACGAAAATAATAGATAAAATTAACAAATATATAACAAAATAAAATGTACTAAATACAGTAAGATCCTGCTTAATGCTGATTCGATATAAGACAGTCTTCTCAAAGCCTAAAAAAAGCTCAAAATTTATGCCGATTTAAATTATCGCAGCATTTTGTTGATTTGTATATAATACAATTATTTGCGAACACAAAACCAATCAGAAAAACATGGCAAAAAGGTGTACTTTCTTTAAATCTATGTATGTTTGGTGAAATTTTGGAAAAAATTTATCATCATGGATGCCATAGGAAATATCGACTTTGCTTGGCAAGAATTAACTGATAAATGCACAAATGAAGGGTGGAAGAAGTTATGGCTGAAGGTATCCAAGAATTCTCGACGAGATGAGCCTATCGCTGTATCGTTAGGTTGACCAAACTCAACCTAATCGATACAGCAGGATTAGAAGATGTAGACAAGCAGGATATTGAGGAGTTACAGCAAGTTTCTGGTTAGACCCTTAAAAACGACGATCTTCGAGAACTAGCAAAACATGGAATTCGTGTGAAACTGGAAAATAGAGATTCTGAAAATGAAGAACCCCAAAAATTTCTCCACAGATTTCCTTAGTAAAAGTTCGGTAAGATAGCCGAAATCATTGAAGAAATTGTAGCGAATGATCCAGATTTTAAAAGGAGTGCAAAAGCAAAACGAGGCGTTTTGGAAGTGATCTTCTGCTACTGACACTTGCTTAAGGAAAGAAAAAAGTGACAAATGAAACTTCAAAAGAACAATAATTTAAGAAAAGTCAGAACCTTCATCACAAAAAATGAACTTTAGATTTCTGTGTGCATATGTTTGTGTTATTTAGCATATATTATTATACAAATTAATACAAAAATAACTTAAAATTAAAGTAAAATTTATTTTTAGTCGTGTGTTCCCCTATTCCTATTTACATTATGTTAAAATGACCTCGTTTAACACTGTTTCGCTTAGCACTTTGTTGTCTAGGAATGCATCCACCACATTAAGCAAGGTACACTGAAACAACAATAATATAAATAATATAATAAAATAAATAAAACAAAACAAAATAAAATAAATACATAAAAAATGCAGGGCAGGTACGAACTAAGAATTCTCATATTTTAATTTTTCTTTTATGTAGAATCTCCAGGCAGAAGTTAATCCATCCACTTTTATATATTTCAACTTTTGAAAAATTGTAATATATAAAAGTATTAAAGGATAGTTGTATTAATGCCAGAGATGTAGATGGATTAGCTATTGCCTAGAAATTCTACATAAAAGAAAAATTAAAATATAAGAATTTAGTCCGTATCTGCCCTTATATTTTGATGCATTTTTTATGTATTTATTTTATTATATTATTTATATCATTGTTGTTGTTTCAGTGTATTTAGTACATTTTATTCTGTTATTTATTTGTTAATTTATCTATTATTTTTGTTTTAAATTTGAATTTCTCAGTGATGGAAGGTGTTTAACGTTTCATTAAGTTAAATAATCAGAATTCAAACAGTTTCCACATGTTTAAAAGTATTATCATTACAAAGTTATTTTGGAAACAAGTATGATGTATTAAAATGTACAAGACTCTTGCATGTTAAATAAAATTAACCGAAAACAATCATTTAAAATTTCTATTTAGAAAAGACTAAGAATTAAGGTAAAATAAATAAAATTAATGGAGCCTTGAGTTTAGGTACCCATTTACTGTAAAAAGAGTTTGTTATCCAGTTGGAAGTGATAAAATCAGGTTATCCTGACTAACTTTAATTACATGTATAGTAAAGTTATTAGATCTTTGTTCCCTCAAAATACTCTATACCTACAACAGATTATCCTAGAATTTTTGTACATGTTCCATCCCTTATATATTATAAGTTACTTTAAAACTCATTGCATTCTTTAGGAAAAATGGATATTTGCTACTAATTTTAGCAAATATTCTTATTCTTAAATAGGAGAAGGTTTGCACATCCTCCACTTTAAGAAGATTACTATTTACAGATAGGACAACTTGTAAACTGTAAGAACATTCTGGAGTTTATACTTTTCCAATCTCCCATCCTACCCAAAGTTCTATTTGTCATTACATCAGAGTATCTTCGAGGCACAAAAAAGTGGCTATGTGAACATAAGAGTCTGTCAACAAAGGATTTGTCGACAAAAAATTACCAAATAGATATTAGAAGAGTATCCCCCACATTGAAACAATGTCACTCTACTTAAGAGCATATCTGATCCTAAACAGATTTTTGTGTGGGAAACCTTATTCATAAGACAGTTAAAGCCTATAAATAAGCCTACATTACATCTACCAGATTTCTCATTATTCTTAAATAAAATAAATGGAGCAAAACGTGTATGTAGTTTTATCTATTTTACCTTAATTCTTAGTGCTTTTTAAATGGAAATTCCAATCAACTGTTTTCAATTAATTCAATTAGACATTGCATTCTTTAATACATCATTCTTGTTTCAACGCTAACATTTTAAAAAATGTTGAATATGTTCAAATCTCAGTTATTTATTTATTAGAGTGGATGATTTTAATAATAAATAATGGATTAATTTACCTTCATAATACAAGTAATTCTAGAAACACCTGAAACTATTTTCAAGGACACTAAACTACTTTTCTAAATAAACACAACCACCTTGTTTTCTACGATGAGATTAAAGCACTAACTTTAATGTTTCCACATGTTAATTTCAACTTTTATACTTATAAATATGAATAATATATTTAAAAAACAAAGTATTCAATGAAATATAATCAATTTATTCAACTGTTCAACAAAACACTTCTAAATTTCAGAATTGATTAAGTTAAAATAAAAATTCGATTGCAAAAATCATGTCATTTTCCTGTAACTAAGCATTCTTTTATGTTTCAAAATATATATAATAAACAAACAATTAGTCCAACTAGTAATATTTACTTTGTTAGGCTATTAATAAACAATAATAATTTAAAACCTTATTAGGTGCTGTAGGTCAGGCAATCAAATGGCAATTCAGACAATCCAATGTAGTATTAGACATCCACAAGTAATTCGAAATGACAAAATAGATATCATTTGATATTTTTCACAGATATATAAGTCAATTTATTTTTTTAAAATGCATTTCTTGCCATCTGGCACATTTCATTGAATTGGCCCTACAAACCAACCCAAATCTGGAAATAGAATCCATATTGACCATTAGTCTGAGGGGAGCCGGGGATTTTTCCCCAGCCTAGAAAAAGTTTAGTGCCCCGCAGTCGTTCCTATTTCCGTAAGTTAATGTTATATTTACTAACAAAAAAATAAAATCTCAAAGATTGTTTTTATTAATAAACATTCTAAATAAAAGCACTTCTTCATAATAAATACATTAAAAAGTGACAAAAAGAGTCCACTCTATCCACTCTCGGGCCCCGTACCAGCCGTTCACTCCCGCGTTCGTACTAATTTGCAGATTGCATAAATAAGTTACGTCTACACGTGTGGAAAGACAATCCGACATATTTTATTATACTTCACTGAAATATATAAATAATTTTATCATTCTTCTATAGTATATTCTTTTTATAATTGCAAGTCGAAAATACTTTTTAAAACATTTACACATTATTTGCAGGCGACGTCACCAGAACAATGACCGTCGCCTGGACACAACAAAGAAACAAACCCCTTTAAAATACCTACAAACACAAAAAAATTAATAAAAACACATACACCAATAAAACAAGAATAATAATAAATATATCACAAATTAATTGAAACAGTAGGTAAAGAATTAAGGGGTATAAAGTGTCATTTTTCAGAATTATATATATTTATGATATTCTAGGTGCAATTTGTCCTTGACTGATCTACGATAACGACAAGAAAAAGATTTAACAAAGTCATTAAGATGGCAACAGAAACGTAAAGGAATAGAGACCGTCTAGCATTTACGCAATCCTTACATTAGCATAACACGAAGTCAGCACATTAAGTTAAGGAAGACGTAAACGGACACGGCTGACATCCGGCGCATCACAAGTTCGACTCGTTACCAACGACCGGAGAGTCAAACTAAAGTCATCGAACAATGTACAGAATAAATTACATTTCTACAATTTAACAGGCAAACTTGTATAATTTTTATTCTTTGTAAATTCATCATCATCATCCCTCAATTTGCTTTAATTAATAAATATGCAAACAGAAATATATAGACACCCAATTCCAGATATCTCCTTATTGATTTTTCGCAATATATAAATCTAAGCCTAGGCGTAATTAAGAATAAATTTCTCATTCTTAAAACGAAATCGAAGGAAGGAAATAATGCAAAATGGCCACACCCTGATACCAACCAATTCTTCTATTTAGTAAGAACAAATCATCGAAACATCTTACGGATAAACTCGGAAATACCTTATATCAGTCGACCCCCCTATAACATTGTTGATTATTCCGTGTTATATGAATTTCATGTTGTACGAGTCACTTAGATTTTACAAATACGTGAGCCGTTCACAGCCGACACATGTATTTGTAAAATCTAAGTGACTCGTACAACATGGAATTCATATAAAACCCTAATCAACAGCGTTATAGGAGGTCGACTGTACACAAACGTTGTGTTTCTCCCGTTTATAAACGACGTGTAGAAACTAAATTAAAACACGCCATTTCGTACGAGACGAAAGTACTTTCACTAACCCACACGTTTATTTATTGTTGTTCCGATTTCGTGACTTATGTTTCATTTTATGAAAATTCTCATTTTTTTTTCGGACAATTTATACTCACATTTTGGTTATTTGGCACTTAGCACTCCATCTTCCTTCGACTTACAGTTATCTTCCACCCGTCCAAGATGGCGGAAGAAAAACAGTGTTGCCAGATTGTTTTTTGTTACATTTTAATTGCGTAATTTATTTCTCGTTTTTCTTTCTATTTTATAAGTAATAATATTTAAACTTTATTCCCATGAAGGATATTTTAGCTAAAAAAATTTTATTTTCAGTTATAATTCAAAATCGGGAATATTTCCCTTTGTTTCGTAATCGGACTCGTGAATTGTCTCCGATCCGAAAATTATTTATTACAGTAGAGCCTCGATTATCCGACCCCCGATTAACCGTCACCTCGGTTAATCGACCGTCATAGACGGCTAATTTCAAATGTCCGCTAGTAATGTGGCGCTACAATACTTGGCTATGTCTTGGCTACTTTTATATTATTTTTACGTATTTTAGCTGGCAACACTGGATCGACCATGAAAAGGAGCCAGTATTTCAACGAAGCTTAATTTTCTAATTTTTAACGATACAATAGCGACGATTATTATTTTAAAAAATTTTTGTTACGCTTAACATCGATGAAAATTCAACGCTAAATAGGTTAATATCGATATACTAATATACTAATTACATTGGATATAATAATATACTACACTAATAATGGATTTTTTCATACTTTTCGGTTATCCGACCAACCCCAGTCCCCAATTGAGTCGAATAATCGAGGCTCTACAGTAGTTTTTCTTTATTTTGTATCAAGTCGGGAAATTTTGTCAATAGGAGGTATCCGTAGCTACAATAAACAAGTGAATTCATTTGCTAATGGAGTCATCCGATCCTGTAAAGTCTTCGAATCAACTACGCGCTCATTACTCTCTTAAAAGCCCTCTATTAAAACTTTCCTTACTCTTCTTGCCAGCTTAATCAACGAGCTGAATGGGTGTGATCGTTAATAGCAGTCGCTTTGCGTGTCCTCAGAGTATCGTGTCCGGTACTTCGGGAGTACGCTGTTGTTTGTAGGCATTAAAGAATGATAGTGAAAGAAAGATGGCAGCGCCTGTACTATCGATAGCATCGTGATAGAAGGATCTATGATTTTAAACTGTGCGTTTTACAGACAAAAGAAGGGTCTCAATTGTAAAATTTAACCATAAAATGGATTATCTCGCCGACAGAGCATTCAAAGAAGCCACGAAAAAAACTTAGAATACCGGCTACTATTCGGAAAAAATTCGAGAGATGCATTCTTTTATTTCTCCGCGTAACTCCGCGCGATTGGCATCGGTTTAAAAATTCCTGCGAAATGCGTTCCTAAATTCCGGTAGGAGTGCTCGCCCTCGAACGGCAATAACGGCCGCTTGTAGCAGTAGTTTACGGTGAAAAGCAACATGGCGTCATCCATGGCTGAAATTGTTTCGTTTAAGGGTCCGTAGTGTAGTTTTATTAATGAAAATTTAGAAGTTGTGAAACCGCAAGTTAGTGCACGCGGTGTTGTAAGTGACTAATGTACTTGAATTTTTTCCGAATGGTAACCGCATTACGCTTTTTTTTTCTCGTGGCTACTTTGAATACTCTATAGGCAAGATATTATGGTTAAATATTAAAATTGAGACCCTTCTTTTGTATTTAAAAACGAATATTTTAAAATCATAGATCCTTCTATTACGATACTATCGATAATACGGGCGCCGCCATTTTTCTTTCTTTCACATGGTTCCTAAATGCCTACAAACAGCAGCGCACTCCCGTAGTAGAGCGACCGCTATTAACGAACGCACACGAGAAGACACTTACATCATCGCGTGCACTAACTTGAGCTTTTACAAGTTAAAGTTGTCATTCATAAACACATAATGGACCCGAAACGAAACTGTCCGAGTCATGGAGGACGCCATGTTGCTTTCCACAGTAAACTACTACAGTATTACAAGAAAAACTTTATCTTTGGAATGTAAAGTTAAAATCAATTCAATGTTACACTCATCATCATCAATATTCTGAGTCAAAAAAAGGTACTGTATAAGAATTTCCTTCATGTAGAAGAAGTTTTTAATATATCGGAGTCCTTGATAAAAATGTAAATTACAAACACCTGTTTTCAATTAATAATCTGCTTTGGAACCTGTTACGTCAACTATTATCGAATTCTAAAATCTCAGACACTTTAACAATAAATAATATTTTCATTTGTGGAACTATTTCCTCAATTATTACGTTTTTGTACTTATTTATTCATTTTTACTAAAATATTATTGTTTACTCTTTCGGTATTCATATAGAACAGTGGAAAAGAATGAACATGGATCAGAAAATGACCTCGTCAAGGTTTTTATATTTATAAACTCGGTAGTTTTTAATGCATCGAGAAATAAAAAAAGAAAGTTCGGTGTTATTTTACATAAATTAATGTGTGTTGGGCGGGGGACGTTATTGTTCATCTAATTTTGAATTTTATAACTTTTGTTTTTTGATCGAAAAGATCTGAAATTTTGCGTGGTAAAGCGGTCGTCGCCCGTTTCACCACGGATATAAAACCCACCGAATACGATTTTTTGGCAATAAGTAATTATTAGGGTTTCTCATTTCCCGGGAAATTTGCCTCCAGCGGGATTACGGGAAAAATAATTTCTTTTCCCGGGATCCCGGGAAATTCCGGGATGAGATAGTAAAATAGAATTTTATATGAATAAAAAAGATCATACAGGAATATCATAAATTTGAATAATTTAATTTATTTTCTAGTAAGTAACTAAAAGTGTAGGGCCAATCTCACCCATACGGACACGTTAGGCTCAATTAATTTATGTT